TGTGAATGTCATTGGGTTGTAAAGTAAATGTTTGAGAGAGATTTGTTCCCTTGCGTGAATGATCTTTAGTTTTCTGAGTACATGAATAAATAAAAAATTGAAAAAATAGGAAGAGAGATGTTGGGCTCTGTGAAGGCTGGAAATTTTGGAATCACTGGCTGAACAGTGGTCATTATTCAGCATTATTAATTCAGTATTTGTTGAGTTTTGGAAGATTTAATGAGCAACAGCTGTAACCATGTTCTTAAGTGCTTAAGTGAGAGGAGTCATGGTAGGGCAAGAAAAATTATACAGTTAAAGTAATCAAACTAATTTGGATTGTGGCATCAGGACTACAAGAGACAAGGTTTTGGAGGGCTCTTAGAAATAGATGTTTTGCTAATAGAATATTAAAAAGCTACTAGTTCCATTTGGGCCATTGAGTAATACCTTCAAAACTTTGTAGTTAACTTCTCCAAACAGTAGAAAACACTCATTTTCTACAGAGGACTGTCTTGAAGAACTTCTTCATGCTCCAGGGTCCCTCTTAATCTATGAAAATGCCTGTTGTGTTCTGCTCTTTACTTTCTATGTATTGCAACACAAAGCTGTGGAATGGTATCAGAATACAGTTCCTCTGCGTTTTGGGGCAATTTTTTTTAGGTTTTGGGACAAAGAATAGAGCTCTCAAAGGCAGGTAGAGGCAAAAATAGAGGGTCACCTCCTGTGAAAATGTTCACAGCTTCTGGCATCTATTTTTAAATTGCTAGCTTCTTTAAGTCTAAAATTTTACAGATTCACAAGATTGAACTAATGGCGTTGAATCTTTTTCCAGTTTTCCTGTTCTCCTCCTCTTAATTGCTGCATGTTTTTTAGACTCTTTTTGCAGCTCTCCTTGCTACCATTTTCCAAAACCTGTCTTCTGATTTGACTTCTTCATTCCTCTGTTTCCAACACCCTGGGCAACACTCACACCACCTGCTTTTGCTCCTTAGAGCTGAATGAGACAGAAGTGTATGAGTCAAAAGCGTTGAGTATTTGACTCCACTGCAATCCAGCCTTAAAATGGAGATAGATATATAGAGAGAGATATGCGCTGGGGTTAGGTTCTTCCATTTAACAGACTACTTTTGTCCACGTCCTCACTCAATGCTTTCTAGGTTGTTCTGCTGACATCCAGCTCCTCTCTGTTGATTGTACTGAGAATTTCAGCTATGAGTGCTCAAGCTCATCAGCCAAAGCTGTGGTGTGTGATACCTGGCACCAGCTTCTAAGCTTCTAGCAATTCTGCTTCTGCTGGTCCTTCTTCCATCATTTCAACTCCTGGGTCTTCTGGTTTAGACAAAAGTAGTGGCTGGTCTTTTTATCTGGGATGTTTCCGCAGAAAGGTTGAGTTAGTATTATATTGCCTATGAAGAACATTTTTTTCCTAGCACCTGTCCATGCACAGATACTGCAGCCATTCAGCAGAAAAACAGCAGTATTATTCTTTCCCTGAAAATGAGGGTTGCGTAAAATGTTGATCAATCCTAATGAACAATCATATTTTTCACAGTTTCCTCTACAATGGCTTTATTAAGGTGCATATGAGTGAATGTCTTCACAGTAATACTACTTTGGGTGGTTTTTTTCCTTCTTACACTAAATGTATATATTTAATTGAAAATAATGAAAGGTCCTCTTAGGTTGAACTTGTAAGAGTGATTCTCCTTCAGTGGTGTAAATAGCTTGCAAGGAATGTGGTCAGTCCTGTCTCTTTCACATAGCTTTTTAAGGGCTGGGTAAGCAGGACTCAATGAGGAGGGACGCTGGAAGCAACACATGGGAACTCCAGCTGAGTGATCTGCACTCACATCCTTCCAGCAGCTGACTTTCATTTCTTACCTGGGGTGATGATGTTTTAATGGATGAAAAAACTATTTCTGGTATTTCTCTTACAAACCGTCCCTTCCTGCATTGGATTATCTGTTTGTTTTCTACCAAGGGAAAGAAGATCTGGGATTCTGTGTACCAAGGAGAAAAATTTCATAGATATCTTTAATATCATTGTCAGTGATCTGGACAAGAGGATCGAGTACACCCTCAATAAGTTTGCAGATGACACCAAGTTGGGCAGGAGTGTTGATCTGCTGGAGGGTAGGAAGGCTCTGCAGAGGGATCTGGACAGGCTGGATCAAGGCCAACAGTATAAGGTTCAACAAGGCCAAGTGCCAGGTCCTGCACTTGGGTTTCAACAGTCCCAGTCAGTGCTACTGCTTGGGGGCAGAGTGGCTGGAAAGCTGCCTGGTGGAAAAGGACCTGGGGGTGCTGGTTGACAGCCAGCTAAACATGAGCCAGCACTGCCCAGGTGGCCAAGAAGGCCAATGGCATCCTGGCTTGTGTCAGAAATAGTGTGGCCAGCAGGACTAGGGCAGTGATCACGCCCTTGTACTCAGCACTGGTGAGGCCATACCTCAAAATGCATGTTCAGTTTTGGGCCCCTCACTGCAAGAAGGACATTGAGGTGCTGAGCAAAGGACAGTGAAGCTGGTGAAGGGTCTGGAGCACAAGTCTTGTGAGGAGTGGCTGAGCGACTTGGGCTTTTTTAACGTGATGAAAGAGAGGGTCAGGGGATACCTTATTATTCTCTACAACTACGTGAAAAGAGGTTGTAGTGAGGTAGGGATCAGTCTTTTCTCCCAAGAAATAAGCAATAGGACAAGAGGACATGGCCTCAAGTTACACCAGGATTGCACCAGGGTAGGTTTAGATTGGATATTAGAAAAAAATTCTTTACTGTGGTATTCCAGGGAAGTGGTTGAGTCTCCATCCCCGAAGATATTTAAAAGATGAGTAAATGTAGCACTTAGAGCCACTGTTTAGTGGTGGACTTGGCAGTGCTAGGATAGTGGTTGAACTTCATGATCTTAAAGGTCTTTCCCAATGTAAGCATTTTTATGATTCTGTGTGATTGGAGAGATATAGAATTTGAGATGCTTTTAAGTAAGAATCTAAAGCTTAAGAAATATCTCCACACTGTGCTTTGGAGGTCTCTGTGATAAAAGAAACCAACAGGGGCAGTATCTGGCCAAAAAGAGAGTTTAGAAGTACGTTGAGGCTGGACAGGACAAAGCAATGCACTTGAAAAACATGATGCGATGTGACGAGAGCATTAGAATCAACCTGCCAGGTTGGATGGGGGTACTGCTATATTTGTACAGTGCTCCACACCAACTGTTTGTGGCAAGAATATGTGTGTAAGACAGTTTGGTGGAGAATCCAAGCGCATTTTGTAGCACTGTGTCATTGGCAAGAGTGTGCAGCCTGCCATCTGCCGTGTAGCTTGTACCTGCCTGTCCAGCTCGTAGCAGCTGCTGGATTTGAGATGCCCAACGCTGCGGCCACCCACTGGCAATGAACACTATTTGGTGCTTTGTGCTTGGCTAAGGAGTATAAAATTATCTAGGCTAAGGCGCTGCTGGTGCAGCTACAGGCTGCGGTCACCCCAGGGCCCCGATTGCTGGGTTCTTCTTGCAGCAACTGTTTCCCACCCCCGTCTGACATCAAAACTGCAGCACAGCCCAGATGGTGCACAGAAGGTACCGACCCAAGGAGCTCAAATGTTGCTGACAACCTTGCTGACATGTTGTGCTGATGTCTGTACACCATTCAGTTTCCTGACAGAGGCCATTTCAGCTGGATTTTTCAGGGCTGTTTGAACTCTGTGATGATATTCATACTCGGGAATTTACTTTTGAAACAGAGAGCTCTCGGTAAAGCATTTATTGACTTTTGAAGAGACGCGAAGAGGGAGGTTCTGCCTACGACAAAGCAAATGTTGCGTCACTGGTTCATGTAATTGAAATAGTTTCTTGCAAACTGCTCATGATTCATAAGAGATAATAAATAACTGAGGAATGATTGTGCCTGACAAAGCAAACAGTTGTTGCAGAGATGCTCTTTTGTTGTCCTGGTTGTGATTAGCTGGTTTCAGAAGGGGAAGTAAAATTTTTGACACATGAAAGGAAGATACATATGGACCTCACACAGTTTCCTTTCCTCACTTTTGGTGCACACTCAACTGTGGGATCAAGGTAACTGCCAAGGGCATTTAACCTGTTTGAGGGCGGGTGATAGAAATCACAAAGTATAGCCTACAAGCATGGCAACAATGGGATTTTATAAGTTTGCTTTATGAAAGCACAAAATCCAGTTTGGCTGTATTAATCTCCTCTGACAAAGTACAGTGTAGAATGCGGGGCATACATAATTCTTACTTTTAAATATAAAGCAGAGGGTGGGATTTTCCAAAAATCCGCGCTTAGCCCAAGTTTGAGCTCACTGAAGTAAATGAGTGTTTATGAACAATATTGTGGAAGTCCCGTGGCTGAGTACGTTTAAAAACTGTACACCATTCCTAGTAACATCTTATGCAAAATTAACTGATATTAATTTACTGAAAATAAGTGCAATAAATAAGAGGATGTTTTGCAGATTGAATTTTTATGTTTCATTGAAAATTTGTAGTTCATTTTTACCAGCTTGCTAAGAAATGTCCTGCAGTGCCGTTTACACAAATAATTAGAAACCTTCATAAACTTCATAAAATAATTGGAAGTTTGTGGCAGCCCATGGTAATTGGCAGAAATAACAGGTAATCTGGTTCTTTGGGGAGAAAGTGTAGCCTGACAAGATGGGGGTAACGACCTCATATGGTAATCATGAGAATAATTACACAGCCCTTTGTCCTGATGTTAATCCCCACATCACCCCTGCAAGGTAGGATCTATATTATTGCCTTAATCCTCTTGATATTCTTAGTTATGTGAATGCCACAGGAATGATAAATCTCAAGGCCCTTTTCCTTATATTCAGCAGATCTCGTACCTTGTAATTGTGTAATTTGGCCTAAAGCAACCCCTAGGCAGTGGGTGTTCATGGGAAGCACGCAGAGGGAATTGTGGGGATTAATAGCAACAAGGGGAAAGTCACAACCTGTTTACCCCCCCCCCCCCTTCCCCTCTTTCTTTTGTTTCTCACAGGAGAAAAACCCTACAAATGTACCTGGGAAGGCTGCACCTGGAAGTTTGCTCGATCCGACGAACTGACGAGGCATTACCGCAAGCACACGGGAGTGAAGCCATTCAAGTGTGCAGACTGTGACCGCAGCTTTTCCCGGTCAGATCACTTGGCGCTCCACCGCCGCAGGCACATGCTGGTTTGAGAAACGCTACCTGTTCCAGCCGAGTTTAAGAGCTGGGTCTCTTAACTACCCAGAGTGAATTCAGCAGGGCTGAATCCCCCTCTACAGTGTTAACAGGCAGGGCATTCCCTGATGTCTGTAACAAAAAATAGTAACAGAAATTTAAAAAAAAAAAAAAAAAAAAAAAAAAAAAAAAAAAAAGCAGGAAAAGAAGTGCCACTCTTCTCCTCGCCATCTGAAGTTAACCCCGTCTGCCCCTCAGCATGGCTAACCCCTGAAAATGTCATCACAATCACCTGGGAAATAGCAGCCAAAATGCTACAGGAATGGGCATTATTTTACATGCTGCATCCTTTGACAGAAAATGTTTATAGCTTGTATGTTTTCTCAGCTGCCAGACATTTTGTTCCTGAAAAATCACTGCTGATTGGAGGATTAGATACCACAAACCGATGATGATGATGACGACGATGATGATAACGATGATGATGATGATGAGAGCAAGACCGCTAGATCTGTATTATCCCATCTTTTCCCCTTGTTTTGAATACCATTTGGCCGGTGTCAGCATTACACCTGAGCTGTGCTACAGACAAGCTGCGTGTGAGTAGGCAAGAAGATTCTGCTGGAGAGATCCTGCTGCTGAAGCTGAAGGGTCACTTGATCAGACTTTTGCAATAACGGTGGTGGCATTTTAATATTGCCCCACAATTTGTCATTATGCCCTAGAGAACACCAGCCATTTAAACTTTTTCTTTTATGTTTTTTTCCTTTCTTTTCTTTTGTTGTTGTTGAAGTCTGTAAAATAAGCAAAGGGCAGCAGCATCTCTGCTGAAAGTACAATATTAAGTATCTGTATTTTACCATGGACTTATATAGAACCGTTTTCTGATTTGTATAGAAAGAGCCCATCTAAAAACTACTACCCCATTCTCAACGTGCAGTTTTCTTTCGTGCAGGTATCCTCTTCCCCACAACCATTATTTGAACACAAGGAAATAGTCAGATCTTGTACTTGCTGGTACCAAGGTTAGTGGTGTAGCCATTCGTGAAATGGAATTGAATGTATCATCAGAACAAAACAGAGAAGAAACGGCTGCATCTCTTGCAGAGAAAAAGCAATAATGAGATAAAATGGCTCTTGAGACAATAATTCACTCCACACTAGAAGAAGTGTTGGGTATGCAGAAATAGCATGTAAGATTTAAGCATTAATCTTTCTGATGGTTTCCCTGACCTGCTAGGTACCACAGTTAAGTACTTTTATTTCCTTTAACATAATACTTGTGTCTGGAAAGCATGAAAGGTAAAGGAAAGAGCTGATAGTTGAGTTAGTGGATGAATTGTAAGTAGGAAGGAGAAATGTTTCTGCAGTGGTGCTCTGCAAGACATTAGGTTTCTCCCTGGGAGTTAGGGAATAGCAAGATTTTGCCAGCTGTCTAGTATGATATAAATGGCCCTTTATATGGGTACCAGTGGCTGCCTCTGCTGGGATTTTCAATCCAAGCCTTTTCAGATTAAATAAAAGGAAATTCTTGATCCTTCCCATACAGCCCTATAATTGCAAATCAATTTGTATTAATTTAATTATGTAGGAAAGAGAAAAACTCTTAGTCATCAGTTATTCATGCAAACAGAATAGTGTTTTTCTGTTTTCTTTCCGCACAAAGAACTGCCTATTCAGCTAAATTTGACAAAGAGGAGGCTTGGCAAGATTTTTTAAGTGTTGAGATTTTCATAGCTTTGAGATGAAAGATGAATACGTAAAGGTCTTTTGCAATGCATTTAATTATGAGTATTTGGTTCCAGGAATTGCACAGATTAAACTTGTGATGCCACTTGTTTGTTTTTAAATGTTTGACCGTCCCAGTTAATATCTGATTTCTGAAGTAAACATAGTAATGTTGGGGGGATTCTGAAATCAAGATAATGTTTAGGAAAAAATGCGCAGAGTACCCGTACAGATACGAAAGCAATTACAGTTAATTGAGGATTACTGTGACTGGGATATTATTTTATAATAGCATTCACAGGCCCTAGAGTTTGATTGTCTTTAAATATCCTTAATATTCCCCAATACTGGATAGTTTATCAGCTCTCTGAAAGAAGATCTTGGTACTCTAGAAGCCCAGGCTCCCCACTGCTGTGTGGTCAGCAGAGAAACCCAATACAAACTGCTCACAGCCACTGAGGGAAAAATGACTCAGTCAATTCCCATTGACCATGTCGGTGGTCAGCTTCCACCAAATTCAACAACACTGTAGAATCCGTCTCCAAATCAGGGACAGATTAGGGCTTCTGGATGGTCCATGAGGCATTGAAGGGCAGCAGAACTGTTGTCTTTACCAGCAGCATTACAGTTGCTGGTTTAAAAAAATGGTTGTCAAGTGTTGTGAGTGAGGTGCTTCGTGGATTATGCCTGAGGTCAGTCTGTTGTGTACTTCAGTATTGTCTCATTCAATGCATCTGTCACTGGTATTCAGGGAAAGAAATCGGGTCAGGTAGAAGTCAGTTGATAAAACTACTTTCCTGCCCAAGAACATTTTACCAACTGATTATTTGGATAGCAGTAATTCAGTTGAAGAACCGATGGTATGCAGAATTCCTTTTGGAACTCGTGATTTCTTTTCTCCCACAGATAATTAAATTTATTTGAGCAGCAACTCTAGAGGGCATTCTGCTAGTGTGTGATAGAGGATGTGATTTTACTCACAAAGGCAGCATGTAACTGGGAGAGATCAGTGTTCCTCTTTAGGCTTCCTCTGTAGTTAATGAAGAGAGAAAAACTCCTACTAGGGAAATTGAGGGGCCATAAATTTCAGCACTGAGCCTTGAACTGCCTGGTGGAGGAGCATATGTATCACAGACACTGGAGAGGCTCATCTCCCAAGGCCGAGCTTGGTCTGTGTGAACCCTTGGTTTTTCAGCTGGCTGTCCATTACTTTATGCATAGGAAAAACTGCAACAGAAGGAGAGCCTGGTTTTATTCAAGGAACCCCAAAGTGATACAGGGTTAAAGCAGCACGGACACAGGCACGGAGTATGTCAATGGTAACAATGAAGCCAAAAGGTAAAGGAGTGTGTGCTGTATTTTGCTATTTCACAGGCAAGAATTATATCCTCAACCTTTCCAGCACATGTGCAAGGGCTTCTCATGGTGCTGTTACATCCAAACAACTTACACAACCAGCAGTAATCCACCACTGGGTTTCAAGTACCCTGAGTGGTTCTTGACAAGTTTCTTATTCGTATCAGCACCTGCAGACTTTGATCCCAAATACTCTGTGAGGTTGTTTTCTGGTTTTTTTCCCCCTTCAGAAATATTTTAAGAGAAGTAACTCTGTGGAATGGGGGTGTTTGAATGTGGAGCTGATGTCCCCCAGATCCTCAGGGTTTCCTTGCCTTCAGTGCCTGTGGTTCAGACCTGCCAAACTACAAACGCGCTTGTGCAAAGACCAAGGCCAATTGCTCCAGGGTAGTTTCCTCAAAAGTCCTGGTATCCCACTGCAGGTCCATGACATTTCATAACCATGGCGAAGGCTTACAGCATATGTAGCATGCAGAAAGATGAGATCTCATCTTCACACAATGTAGTAGGTCCATCTTAATTGAGCAGTTGTGAGACAAAAGTATATACCAGTGTCCCGTTCTTCCAGGGAAAAAGAGACTTAGGCTTTTGAGTAAAGGATAGGTAATAGCCAATGTGCTGTGACATTCCCATTACAGCTTGCAAGGGAAATTATACCAGAAAGTGTCAGATTTCATATGTTTTCAAAAGATTTAAGTGGGTTTGACAGGAAATCTCAGTAGCCAGCATTATAGGAAAATGTAATGAGCAAACAGCTTTGTTACAGAACTTCTAAAATTTTTAATTGTTGTTATTTTTGAGCACCTGTTATGTTCAGCACTGTAAAATTGGCTCATTGCAACAGCAGTTTTTAACTTGGGGATGAAGATGCAGTATTCCTTATTCTCTCTCATGCTTACGTAACTAATTAAATAGATTCAGACTGACTTGTATGTATGATTATTTGCTGGAGTAACATATAACAGAATTAACAGTGTTAAAAATTACATCAATGATGCTGATGTTCGGGATAAACTCAGTTCAGAGCATGGACAAATAGCTGGACAGCCTTTCTCCCCTTTAATAATGGGAATAACAGTGATCATAAGTCTCATTTTCCATTAGTCACATTGAAAATGTATTCTAGTTGCCATTTATAAATTTATCTTCTGATAATAAATGTTGTTTAATGTAAAAAATCTCTTTCTCCTTTATTTAAGATGGGTACCTCAAAATCAGAGTAAGTTTGATCAATATCCCACGTATTATTTAGTTTGAATTTTGGTTTGGAAAGGTCAGTGTGTGAAACTGCATCTTCCACAGCAGTCAAGTCTTAAGATTATTCAGTAAATCCACACTGTTCCCACACGCTCATCCTTACACTCATGCATATAAGCCCAGCACTTCCACATGTCTCTATCCATGTGCAGGTAATAAAAAACTTTATTTAAAATTAAAATGAAAAAAAAATCAGAAAAGGGAGAATTTTAAATAAACGCTGTTGCAGAAAATACTACCTTAAGAAACCAGCTCATGTTATTGTGTTGTGCCTTTGTCTGTGATACATAACTGGAGAAGTGCACAGAGAAATGTAAAGATTGTTCTATTTTCACAGTTTTGCTGTAGCATAACAGTTGCTGTGTAATGTATGCTAATGACGTCATGCCCATTGGTACCTTGAAAAGGCTTAAATTCTCCACAATAAATCAGGTTTTAGCGTAAATATGTAAGGATACTGCATCTTTAGAAATCAAACTAACATGAAATTCTTTTACTGTACTTTCAACTGTTTAAATATTCTGTAATATATGCGATAGTGGGAAAGTATTTTCCAACTCACAATTTTACATGGGGTGTTAAAAGTAGATCAAATGAAATATATTTTTAAAAAATCCTTTAGTTTTCATTGGGAAAACTGGTAAGATTATGGTTTGCAAAGCTTATTGACAAAACACAAGAAGTAAATTGTTCTATCAGAGCGTGTTTTCTCTGCAAAATTGAGTGGCCACTTCTTTGCTGTTTTGCAGGCAGTGTGAGATATAGCAAAGTCATACTGAGTCCTTCTGTGTCCAGTAAGTCAACACTCCATGTCTTTG